TTTTCCCCCCCCCCCCCCCCCCAGGACCATAATATATGTCTATATCTTCTATTGCATTTCAATATGAATTCTTGGTTGTGGGCTTGTGGTACTCAAAACGAAATAGAGTTGGTATTTGTGTGGTGCTAATGATATATCTCTCTCATTCATCCTCAGGTTTTGAATAACTTTGACATTCCTGATCCATGTTCCTTTGTTGAACTTAACATCGAGAGCTTTTTATAGTTTTCACTCTACAGTTGATGAGACGAGTAAGTAAACCTTGCATCTCTTTTTTATTTTTCAAGTTGTCTTTTGTTTTCTTATTCAATTTAATGGGGGATATATAGCAATAAAGACACGACGCTTTTCGTGGGTGGAGATTTGGATTGTTAAAAGAATGTGGAGTGACATCCATAGTGTTTATCTTTGACCTGCTAGATTGAAAGCCTTTTTCATAATCTTTCTATCAATACCGTTCCCTGGGGTCTTGTGCTCTCCAGTGGAAGTTATCCATTTCTCATGTTGAAAACAACACAAACGATTCTTTTATAGTTTGTGCTTTACCACAGCTGACGATTCTTTTAAACTGTGTTGTCTTTTGCTTTATTTTACTGGTTCTCTCCATAATTACAACTATGAATTTACTTTTGGTTTTACTGAAGTGGATGTTTTTTTGTTACAGTGGGTTTCTGGGTTTTCCTAAACTAAGTCTCTCAGAATAATCCTCCAATTACCATATGCATGCCAGGTTCGAAGATTTGAAGCCTTTTTCGTTTCAAGCTCTCATCTAAAGAATCACACTGAAACTTCGGCCATTTGTGGCGCATTTGTATGCCAAACCGTCAGTTCAACCAACTGCACTCTCCACGAGGGGGTACTGATAGGAGAATATTTTGAGAGTTTTTAATATTTATTGGCGTGAGTACAGCCCCAGTAATTTTTGGTATTTAATATACAAGATATCTCTTCGCCTTTTTCATCTAATCGTTGGTGTCTAATAGTTCTCATAAGCATATGGCATAACTTATTTCTTATTTTGTTCTGGAGTCCTAATACATCTAGTTCAATGGTCCTGGTTGGGCTGTCTCTATAAAACTTATTTCATTGCCCAACTTGCAGTTTTTCTGAATTTCACAGGTACATTTCCATCCTGTAGTTGCAATCCGTATGACATTAATATTACTTGATAATACTTTGTTAGTTTCAACATCCTACAAATCAGTTATCAACTGCATCTGCAAACTATACATTTGCTGAACTTTTCAGGATTAACAATAATCAGAGATGAAATGAAACACTTGGGGATGCCACTCATTCAAGCGGCTCCTATGATATGCTACTTTAGGATTTGGTGGCCTGCCTTGCTGCTGATTCTTCAATGGAGCTGAACCTTTCTCAGCCTCTTTTACAACTGCATGAAACTCCATCGGTCCACCAGATGGGACTCTGGTGATTCTCAGAGGGTGTAAGCCACTTATCCTCCTCTTGTCATTGATCTCTGTGGCCATTCGGTCTGGAATTGTGAATGATATACCAAACTTCCGAGGCAGAGTTCTTCTAATGAAAAACCCCATTCCTTCCTTTGAGACCTTTGCAGGCTTCTCTGTGAGGCCAAGTTTTTGCCTTATCGACAGATTCTTCACTTCGAACTGCTTCGCTATTGCTCGAGCTTGACCCCTCTTTGTCTTTGAGTGTTTACCTCTTGTTTTGGCCATGCTCGGGTGAAGATTTGGACTGCAAAAGTAGAATCTTTAAGCTGTACTACAAGGGAAACCAGAGGGTTTTTGTTTTCTCAAAGAGATTGAGAATTGAGTAAATTTAAACCCCAATATAAAGCTTATTGAAGAAGACTAGGGAGCGTAGGAAATAAGCATCATCTCTTGAAGGCTCAAACTTAATTATTCTTCCCACGTTGGGTTACTTTGGAAAGAGACTTCATTTATTTTAAGTCCTACATGTTTTCGCTGCATTTTTTGCACTGAAAAACAGAGATTCTTGAAAATGGTCAACTGAACTAATGTATCTTATAGAAGTACTGTCATGACCCATATAAGCACTCAGTTTGGTGCAAAACAAGCAATCTTGTAGAAAAAAAACAAAGTTTGTTGGCTGTTTGTTTTTGTTATTATTATAATTATTGTTCTTGGGCATGTGGGCAAACCATTGACTTCAAAACAAGCCCACTGGATTGGAGCAGATTAGTAAAGTGCTGTCCTTGAAAGTTTAAACCATACCACTACGAGTAGAGAAAGTTTTACCATCAAAACCAGCTGAATTTAAGTGCCAAACCAACGAGCTATCTGAAATACCCAATTATAAAAAACACAATTCTACGAAAATTCTATTGGATTTCAACGTCAAGGCAATTTTGAAATGCTTATGAAAATTATAATTTTTAGAAGAATAGAAGTACTTAAAACAAAGTACAAAGTTTATAATTTAAGGTTATGCAGTGATGCAAACCAAAATAGCTGAGGAGAGTTATGAATCCAGATGACATATTATACAAATTCGGTTTAGAATATCTCACAGACAAATCAAGTTAAAACATTGAAGAACTCATAGTGACAAGTTTCATAGCACGCATCATATACAGTAAGGTTGATATCATAATGAAATGAGTTCAAAGGGCCTTCAAATCAGCTAAAAATTCTTGAATGTCATCCAGCTTAGCGTTAGAGAAACCTGCAGAACAGAAACAAGCATGAACGAGTATGTGAGCATCTTCCAGAAAGCTAAAACCAGTTTGATTGACCATGAAGTAGCTTCAAAATCCTACCCTTGTGATGGTGAGAGGCATCTCCGTTTGTATGAATCTTCTCTACTTTAGTGAGCTTGGATTCCTCCATCCTCCTTTTCTTCAGCTTTCCTATTTTCGCTCGCAGCTCAGATGCAGTTCCCATCATTTCTGCTACAAATTGAAATATGTTAGAAGTCTGAATCCTAAACTCAAGAACAGCTTTTTTCTGCCAACTGATAGAATTGCAATGAAATTTATTGCCAATGAATAGACTTTGTGCAAGTGGCCTTCAAATCTAAAAAAAAAAGCAAGGAAATGGCCTTATTCACAAACTGGAGTTCCTCTTTTATGGAATGAACAGAAAATGGGAAGCAAAGAGAGATACCTACTAGCCATATAATATAAACGTTGCCTAAATGAAATGATCTTGCAGATGTTCACTAAAATATCATTTGGATGTATTAGAGTTTGTGTCACCATGGGATATGCAGGCCAGGACTACCTATCGGAGGAGAAGGTTTGTATATTTCATTTTGAGTATGCCTTCATGAGTATACTAGTAGAGTAGTGCGCATGTAATCCCAGAAATGCAGAAAGAAACAATCGATTTTGAGCACATCTTAATTACCCTGGAACATCTCATTCACAGAATTTCTCTCATATAATTGTAAGGCTTCGTTGAAACGATTGACTTGGGAGTTACTGGAAGCAGCTTGTCTTTCTAAAGCTTGTAGTTCTTGGTTCAATACAATATTCTCTTTTCTGACCTGAAAAACATATTTCTTCATGAAATATGATGTACATAAACAAAAGAAGTAATAAATATACGACACACTCAATACCTCAGAGAGCTTATTCCTCAAAAAATCTAACTCTGTATCCAGATCCACATCATAGAGGCAGTCACGACTTACTGAAGTGACAACAGGTGATTCATCCTAAGACAACTTAAAGAAAATATTTCAATCTGAATTAGAAATATATTTATTGCATTAGAAGAAGAAAAACTAGTAAGAGTATACATAGATTCAATTAACCACATCTCAAAATTATCAACCAAGATAAGGGAATCATTGATAATTTAGCAACTTGACAATAAGATATTGCTGCTTCCAATAAGATACCAGTAAAACAGCAGAAATTGCCAATCTCAAGTAACTGTATGGGTGCAAGATACCACTAGATTAGACTTCTCTAACAATCCCATTGATATTATCCGCTTTGGCTCGTTACGTATAGTCGTCAGCCTCACGGTTCTAAAACGCGTCTACTATGGACAGGGTTTAGCCCTACTCCGACCAGTGCCTCGCACCGTTAGGTGATTGGCTCTCCATTTGTAACAGCTCAATCCCACCGCTAGCCGATATTGTCCGTTTTAGCTTGTTACATATTGCCGTCAGCCTCAATGCGTCTGCTAGGGAGAGGTTTCCACACCCTTATAAGAAATGTTTTGTTTCCTTCTCCAACCGACATAGGATCTCGCAACTTAAAACATGGTCAAGAAAGAAAAGACATGATGCACCAATGACATAGATTTTGTAGAAAATGCAGCCGACATTTGCTAACATTCCTTTTAAAAAAGAATCTAATACAGTCATAGCAAAATGAGCAAAATGAGGAAGCTCTGAGGTCAGAAAATATGGAAACGCGTGACTGAATCTAAAAGTAGCGATGAATATATCCTGAAAAAGATTGAAACTTGATGATGCACGGTAATAGGGCTTTGTCCAAAATTTCAAATTTTGTTTGTCCCAGAATAAACAAATTGAGGAAGCTCTAAAGTCATATACACACACAACAATAGAGTAAGTTCTCAAATATTTGTTGATATGCCGCTATATCCGTAAATATGAAGATTTGATAGCGATATCAAGAGTTTATACAAAACATTCGAAATCTTATCGATTAATCTCAATGAAAATACGAATACAAACACTAGCAAAAAGATTGATAATTTGGAGCAAAAACAACTCAATTATTAATTCTTATTTTATCTATATCCATAAAATTAAAATTTGGATATCGATATCCAGAGGACAAGAGCCTCATCAGAGCCAGTGTAGAAGAAGAACCTACATTTGAGGGTAAAGAAAAACCTTCAGGGACTGAAAAACAGTGATTGAGACAGTATTTCTCCCACATGGCCAACCGCTTATCCAGACCCGATTGGACGAACGTTCGGACCCGCGATATTCCCTACAGGTAAGACAGATAAACAATTTATTCAAGGAAAACAGGAACAATTCCAAACTAAAAAATCGGAAATGAACTGCTGATAAGAAAATGTCAGTAATACAACATAAACCTTACCAGGATAAGATCTTGGGATCTATCCGAGCCCTCGGTCTTCAAGGAGGCCGATGCTTGTCTGAAGGGAAAAAAGGAAAACGAATTGTCAGGCATAAAATTAACCAAACAAAATTGAAAACCTCAAGTAGAAGAGATGAGAAGAGAGACACTACGTCTGATAAAAATCGAAAGCGTCATCAACCAAATCGTCGACAATATTGAGAGCTTCATTAATGAAGAGCTGTGGATTCAGATTCAATGAATCGAATACCTCCTCGCCTTTACTTCCTTCCATGAAAATCGTCCTTTCACTCCCTGAAAAAAGCTTCTTTCCCAATGAAAAACCAGATCCAGAGAGAAATGGAAGGTCCCAAGCTTCCGCAAAAATGGAGGAATTTTGCCGCCAAAATGGCAGTGTTGACTGATGAGTGATGCGGAGACGGAGCGGCCCCTTCCACAGTCGCGCTACGAATGTGTTTTATGGATTTAAAATTTAAATAATATCATTCAAAATTTAAATTTCTTTCTTTTTTAAAGAAAAATAAAATTGTACTTAAATTATGTTTATTTTCATTTGATTTATCTAAATAAAATTATTATTATTATTATTAAATATATAATCCTTTCTAGATAAATAAAAATACGAACAGAATTTATAATTTTAACCTAAGATTTTTTTAGAAAAATTACTATATTATTTCTATAATTATGAGATTAAATACAAACAAAATTTATAATTAAAGTTTTTTTTTTTTTTTTTTTTTTTTTTTTTTTCTAATTATTATTATGATTTTGGATTGAAACAGGCCTGTGTTGGATCAAAATCTTTACTACGTGGGGTTAAAACTTACCTCAGCAACATTCACTTCTGCTACGGTTAATATTCTCCCCGCTGTAACCTTCATTATGGCTCTCGTTTTCAGGTTAATTTTTACTTTTTTACCGGGAGGTTAATTTTGGTCATTTCACATAATTCAATTAATTTTAATCATTAATATTAAAAATAAAAATTAATTGGTGTGATTGATTAACCAGGCTGGAAACAGTGAATTTCAAGAAAATTCGCAGCATCGCAAAGGTGGCCGGAACAATGGTGACGATCGGCGGAGCCATGGTGATGACTCTATACAAAGGACCGGTGGTCGAGATCTTCCACGCCCATGGCCACCACGCCGCCCAACAAACCAGCAGCGAGTCCGCCGACCAACACTGGGTCCTCGGCACCCTCATGCTCCTCGGCAGCATCGTCGGCTGGTCCGGCTTCTTCATCTTGCAAGTAATTCTCTTTTTAACTCCTCAAAAACCCTTCATTTTTATACGTAAAACTAAAACTCATGGCTTCCCTGCTCGACCCCACGCAGTCGTTCACCTTGAAGAAGTACCCGGCCGAGCTGTCGCTTACCGCCTTGATATGCATCTCCGGCACGGTGGAGGGCTCCATTGTCACGCTCATTATGGAGCGTGATTTTAGCGTGTGGGTCATCGGCTGGGACTCCCGTCTTCTTGCCGCAGTTTATACGGTAAGCAGTGAGAATATTTGCTAAAACCACCCCACCTAAATCACCCGCCATTTAAAAGTAAAAATATTTGCTAAAATCTAAANATTTTTTTTTTTTTTTTTTTTTTTTTTGGCGTGAAAACCGACGGCTGAGGTGCGGCCCGGTGTTCATAATCTCATTCCAAATTTGCATTTATTTTTTGTAAAAAAACTCCAAAATGTTCTCAAAATTCCAAAAAGCGTCGGATAAGATCAGGCTAATTTTGCAAAACAAGGTCGATTGCTCAGTGTTTGTTCGATCCTTGAGCATGAACCACAGGCAGAGCTCCAAAGTTCAGGCTATCTACGACCTCTGTAAGACCTCCTTAACTCCCACCAGCTCTCCACTGTCTTCTCAAACTATCCAGAATCTATGTTCCCTTTTGGGTAATTTCTCCGCCTTTCGTTGAAATTTATACTGCATTCTGTTCTACTTTGATCTTTAAACGAAACTCTTTTGTTTCCTTTTGTGATTCTTGCTCAATTTCTCTTCTGGGTTTCAAAATTCAAGTAATTCAGTGCTGGGTTTGCATGAGATTGATGGATGGAATCATTGGTTTGTTCGTCTCAATTCATTTGAGTGTTACTCTCTCTCTCTTTTCTTGATTAAATTTTAGAGATTACTATGCCATTTGGGAATGCTTGAAACACTCATATGCTTTAATTGCTTCTGGCTTGGATATGTTGTTCAATGATTTGGATATAACTTCACAAGCTGTGAAATGAACATGTTTGTCTCTTGATTTCCACATGAGCAATGGCATTTGATGCCATTAATTTGCGATTTGTAGCCACAACTTTCTTCAGTTAAAAGGCTAACAGTGGTTTAGAATTTTTTATGTTGCCATATCTGCAATTCCTGGTACAATTGCAAACAATGATGATTGGAGAATCAATTATTATGATGTTCCTTTGCGTGTTTTCTGAAACTAGCCCAGGCTGCTATGCTAAAAAATATTGCTGGTTAGAAAGCTGAAGGTCTTCAAGTAGGAAAGATCACATTATGAGCTGCATTAGATTCCACTCTTTGACACATCCCAGTTGTATGCTCCTTTCACAGACACGGTTAGCCCCGGCGATTTTGGGCTTAAAGAAGAAAATATGGGTGACGACCGGGGGCATGGACCGTTTGGACTGAGCCAATTCAATAGGATAGCTAGATGGGCTCAACCAATAACATATATTGATATATTTGAAGGTGAAAGCTTTACTGTAAGTCCCATTCATCTCTTTTCTCGAACAGTCACATCCATTCATTGTTCAGTACTCAGAAATTTGGAATCAGAGAAATTTTAATTTTAACTTTTAAGGAAATGATTACATTTTGAAGCTTCCATTCTACGAGCTAGTTGTGTAATCGGATGGCAAAATCCATTATTTGGAGAAGTTAGTGTCAAAATTACCAGCCACAGTATCTTTGATTGACTGAAACTAGTCATGGGTTTCGGTTGGTTGTTTTCGAAGCCTTTGCTGTGATAATTATGCTTATGAATGTACTTAATATCACGACGCAGATATGTATATTCTGCTTTCCTACTTCTTCTGTCATCCCCCTTCATGACCATCCTGGGATGACTGTGTTCAGCAAAGTTCTCTATGGTTCTCTCCATGTGAAAGCCTATGACTGGGTTGAACCTGCCTTCATTCAGGAAAATAAGGACTCCACCAATTTTCCAGGTTTGATTTCCAATACCAACTTGTTTTCTGGATGTACAGAAACAATCAACGAATAGTAATTTATCATTTTGAGTTTTGGTTTCGTACTGTTTTACTAGATTATAAATATTTTTCGCTGTTAGTGTAAAATGAACTTTTGCTAGATAGGAATGTCACTGCATAACATTATGAACACTCTGAGCGTACAATGTTCAACCATGTCCATGAGTCCATGACTATTGTATATCAGTAAGGGCAATTGTAGATTATTGTGCAGTTGACTGAATCTATGCACCGATGATCGTTGACGTATTAAAGATACCATTGAGTCATCTTTGGCGTTTGGCTATTACCTTCTGTATGCAACTCTCTCTTCTCCTTTGTTGAAACAACTGTTGCAACAATTTTTTAGTATGTTACCGATGAGCTGGTTGTGTATGCTGGCTTGCATTTCCCCTGTGGGATATCAGTTTATAGGTCATGAATTTATATACTACTAGAGATTGATACCAAGAGTTTCATCTACATTGTTAGGCACTAAGAGGATGCATCCTTTATCTTTTTGAATGCAAATTATGGGATTTCCTCTCATGAATTCCTCCCACCCTCCCAACATTTTTTTCCAGGAAGATTAGCTAAGTTATCAGTTGATAAAGTTCTAACAGCATCAAGTGGAACATCCATTTTGTACCCGAAGACCGGAGGTAATCTGCATTGTTTCACTGCAGTTTCGCCTTGTGCCGTGCTTGATGTTCTCTCGCCTCCTTATAACGAAGATAAAGGAAGAAGATGTACATACTTCCATGACTATCCTTATTCAACTTTTTGTAAGTAACCTTTTCTCCTTTATGTTTCTTGAATTTTATTATTCAATCAACAAATCTTAGACACCGTGGCTCTGCAAAAAATCAGCTGCAGAATCCAAACCCAACCTAAACGATGAAGAAGTAGAAGATTACGCCTGGCTTGCAAAAATCGAGACCCCTGATGATCTATACATGCGTCCGGGGGTGTACGCTGGTCCTGCTATTCAAATTTAGGCGTTGACAGATTCAGGATTATTGAGATTCTTCCAACGTCTACCAGGAAAGCTGCTTCTACCTGGGATTATACACTAGATTTAGCTTTTGAGAGGAGGTTGATGTTTTTGTCCTTTAAGCTGAGTTTACACAGTATTGATGACAGAATTGTAAGGTAAAAGCTGCACCCAGTTGCTTGCTGTTTTATCTTGAAAACTAATAAACATAGATTACTGTTAGTTGTTCGATTCGAATGTCTCAAATTAACTAGCAAAGTGGCAATATTTGTCATCTGACATACTTTAGATGAACTAATTAGGTTTCTGATATTTGTGTCTATGGAATAGCGTTCAAACTAAGAGAACCCAATACGGTGGTTTGCAAATCAGAAGACTGCATTATTTTGAAACGAACATTTACATGGATAGTTCAGAACAAAAATTTTAGTACTCTCACGGTGCCACTCTACAATTCTGTCATGTGTCAGATTCGAACACCTTGGATAGAAAAGTTTGGCATATTATTTCTGCAGAAATCCCTCTACAGATTCGAACACCTTGGATAGAAAAGTTTGGCATATTACTTTTACCTTCTATGGTGATCTGAAAGACTCGCCAGCATAGGGAACACTGCCAAGTTCTTCTTCAATGCGAAGAAGCTGCATTCAAAATAAAAGATATATTTGAAAAGAATTAGAACTGGTGTAGAGATGGCAAGGATAATAAGTTTGGAAGTTCTGATTTGATCAAACTTTACCTGATTAGTTCACTTTGTCATGAATATAACATCCCATTTCAGGCTTCTTTTAAAAATGCGTATGCTAGGTGAGGCTCTTTGGACTTTCCCTTTCGATTTTTAAACTAGTCTATTAGTCTATGGGACAAGTTTTCACACCTTTATAAGAAATGTTTCATTTTCTTCTCCAATCAATGTGTGTTAGTAACTTAGAACGAAAATTTAGATCACCGTCTATTTTAAGCCACCACCATATTATTCTATGTCTCAACTTCATTATAAAATATATTATAAAATATTTTACTAATGATATGCTTGCAAAAGGTGGTAATACTAATGATAAATGAAAGTGATAATGGTTATGGATTTGTAAAAAAATTTAATTAAAAGAAATAAAAATGAAAGCATGATGATAAAAGAAGTATTTCTAAGAAGATAGTAGGAGGTAAACTAATCTGAAGCTAAACGCACCCAACGATGGCTTATTTCTTGAGATGTGCAAGAGTAGAATGGTGATAAAAGTTCAAGTCATAATGAAAATTAAAGAAGGGAAGATCACAGATAGCTCTGATCAATAATATCTGCAAATTCCCCCATTAAATCCATTTTCCATGTTACTACTTGATAATAAGCTAGAAGCACAAACAGAGAGATCTACTTGAGAAAAGTACAGGACAGAAACAAGAAGACGTATACTACTAGAGATGTAAGTAGTTCGAGCGACCACGTCGGTTGCAATAGAAACGAAGGAATACTCGGAACAATCAACGAACCGCATACCCAACCAGCCACAAGAGAACCAAGTCTGCAGGCAGAACAGTAAAGACGGCATATAAGTCACTGAGTTTTAGTTTTGAGATATATAATGAGATCAGTAGTTCGTGCAAGTTTTACCCAATAATAGAAGCCCGAGCCACACTTTTAGTCTTCTCATTGAGAAAATATATGCAGGCCGCCAAGGACACTGCAACCTGCATTGATCGATATACAAAGTTTAACCAGAGATGACAGTGGCCTAAAACACCCCCAACAGGATCCAAATTAGATGCAAAGACAGAATGTGCTTTTAAATGGAATAGACCCAAAGATGTATAACCAATCCCGAGTGCAATTTTAGATATCTTGATATCATACCATACAGATGAATAAGAATAAGAGGAAGAAAAATAACGTGGGATAATCGAAAAATGCTCAACTAGAGGAAGAGAACCGAAGCTATGATGCACGAACTCCTACCAAGTAACTAATTTAATAATTAATATGATGGAATATAGATAAAGCAGATGTTGGATTCTGTCAAAATAATTAATTGATTGGCAAGATAAGAACCCTCGAGCGCAACCTTTTATCTTAAATCCGTGGATTCTTCAAAGCTTCTGTGCACCCATCTATTCTTAATCTCAAAGTGGCACTTTATTACTAAAGCTTGCAAGACGCAGAGCTAACACAATAATTTATTTTTCCTGGATCAAGATTTATAATTTGAATATTCAACCACTAAATCAAGGTTTGTAACCGCCCAAGCCCACTGCTAGCAGATATGTCTATTTTAATCCACTACGTATCGCCGTCAGTCTCACGGTTTTAAAACGCGTCTACTAGGGAGAGGTTTCCACACCCATATAAGGAATACTATGTTCCCCTCTCCAACCGATATGGGATCTCACACAGTCACTGCCACAAAAACGAAAATTAAAGAAGAGAAGAGGCTACGGCATTACAGTGGATGGTAGATGGCTTATAACCGTGAACTCACTGCTTTTCCTATTTTTTTCCTTATTGCCATTATTTTTACTTATTCTAAATATTTGGATCAGAAATTGAGTATGCGACAAGGGATAAGTATGCATTTTGTGGCACGTTCCTAGGTACTCTTCTTCCCTTACCACTCTAACTAATACATTCAAAACGTGCAGCTCCGATTTACACCCTTTTGATTACTTCCCAACAGAAGCACTAGCCTTCGGGACATCACTAAAAATATGTTTATTCATATATTGAGATGACATTATAAAGGGAAAAAAAGCGTTTACTGAAGGAATATTATACTAACCTGAAAAGCAGGTCCACCTTCCGCTGAGTTCATAATGCTCCAGCCACCCATAAATGCAAAAAGAAACAATCTTCTGAAGATAACATCAGTTGGAGGAAGTTCTACAAAATTCAGCAAGTTCTTAAACCATGGTGGGGACTCCTCGACTTGCTTCTTCAACCTGGTTTTCAAATTAATCTTTGTCTTTTTCCTATGCTGGAAGCTTGCCATCAATATTTCCTCAAAAGCAGCTTCTATAGATTCCTCACTTCTTTCATGACCGGAATACTGCTGCAAAAGAAAATTCCGTGCACTCCAAATTTCTTCCTCTGAAGCAGCAGTACTTACACCAAGGCGTTTATATGGATCCCAAACACGAATTCGAGAGAACTTTGTGACATTACCTGCGAATAATTAAGGATTGACAGATTTATCACCATAGCAGCTAGGAAAAAGTAGGGATATTTTTAAGACAAACAAATCTAATAAACTTTTAAGTCAAGCATACTGCGAAGAAACAACCAGGAGGCCGAGTCTCACGTAACTATCAAATTTAATATTGTCCACGTTATATAATCCACTAGCTATATCAAAATTTCTTATGAATACTTAAAACCAAAGAGGAAAGAATTTCAGAAATAAAGCAGATAATGTTCTTTAGAACATAAGTTTCTCGAGGTAAGGATAACTCCACGTTCTTCCAATCAAACCATTTTAAAAATATCCACAGAAAAGCCGATTGGAGCAGAAAGAATCAATCAATATGAAATTGCCATTAGTCTCATAATTCATAGGGTAATTCAACCTCCTGCTGCAGCCGCTGGAATTAATCGATGGAAACCCACCCCATGTATACTAAGTATGCACAATTGCAAATTGTTTCAAGAATGAAAATGCAAGAAGATAATAGAAAGGTACCTTCATATGGTGTATCCAAAACACATCTGGGGCTTCTAAACAACGCGCGAAATGGTCTTCCCTTCACCCCGATAAGGCGACTAGACCTGGAAAAGAGCAGAAGCACACCACACACATAAGCTAAAACCAAAACTCAATAAATTCCGAAGTTTGAGAAAACGAGAGAGAGGGAATTACAGGTTTAGACCCAGGAAAGGTGTCGCCAAATCAAGGTTAGTTAGCGAAACGGAAGCCATTCTTCTTCTTATTCTTCTTCTTATTCTTCTTCTTCTTCAGAGATAGAGAACGCGCACAGGAACAATAAAGAAACCCTAAATTAAGGTTTCATGAACACCATGGGAGATAGAGGCCAAAAGCCAGAAAGAGATGATGTGCAATCTGGGCGACTGGAGAAAGGGTGAGAGGAGAGCCAGGAGATGGGCTTCATGCTTTTCTAGGTAGGTACTCACCCACCACACATAATACGACGTCGTTTCGAGGAAATTATTCAGGTTTCAAGTAAATATAGACTTATTTCTCATTTTCCACTCTCCATCCCATGAAACAATTAAAACAAATAAATAATTAATTGTATAATCTTTTTTAGTTAAGATAGCTTTAATTATACAATTATTTATTTATTTGTTTTATTTTAATTTTTTTTTTCCAGACAAAAAAAATACTTCCATTATAAATATTTTAAATTTGTCGACTTTATAATATATTAACAAATTTAGTCTATAGTCAATCTGAACTTAGTAGATAAAAAGACAGAAATTATTATATTGATATCGAACAAATGACGTCTTCGGAATCTCAAAGGTGTTCTCATTATTATATTTATTAGGCAGCTCAGTTTATCATAGTGGAGGCTCCAAATAGCATCTGATCTTCGTAGGGTTCTTCTAAGATGTCTATAATTCAGAGCTTGGTTTTGTGTTCAAGTGTAAGCTGCTGCCTCAATATCCTTCTCATAACCTTATTTGATGCAGTCCTTGGAAGTGAAGGGTAAGGAACCACACGGTGAACCTGTGCACATCCCATAATATGAACTAAACTCGTTAAAACTGTTTGCTTTTTAGTGGTATCATATAAATGAGCTTAGCAAAAATCCTACCCTGAACAATGGATTGAGGTTCTTCTGCAGAGCTGAGTTGAAAGACTGCTTTAACTTATCCAAATCTGGCTTAGATTCATCTGGATTCCTGAATACAACTGCAATCACCAACCGTTCCGGGCCACCGCCCTGTGGCGGTACCCCAATGGCTGCTGTTTCAAGAATGCTGGTGTTGACTATATTGCAGATGCGTTCGATCTCGACTGAACTTACCTGCATGAGAAGGATAGATCGTGTTATGGAACTAAATATGATTTGGTTGAGATCTTGAATCAGCTTGAGGTGAGTACAAAAGACAGTAACACTGAATGAACAACACTAGTATTTTTGGATGTTTAAACCTGACATTCAAAAGATTATATTGATCAGTATGCTAGATTTCCTTTCTTCGAACCTCACAAAATCTATTTTACCTTTTATTCAGACAATCAAACAGAATCAGCTGTATGAGGAATTCCACGTTGGCTAGTTAAGGAGAAGATCACAGGTTTATAAGGAAGGAATACTATCTCTATTGGAATAAAGTTTTTTAGGAAACCAAAAGCAAAGCCACAAGAACTTGTGCTCAAAGTGGACAATATCATACCATTATGGAGGATCATGGTTTCTAACAGGTCTGTGATTCCTAACATGATATCAGAGTCATGCCCTTAACTTAGCCATGCCAATAAAATCTTCAAGTGTCGAACAAAAAAGTTGTGAGCCTCGAAGGTGTAGTCAAAGGTGACTCAAGTGTCGAACAAATGGTGTATTTTGTTTGAGGGCTCCAAAGAAGGAGTTGAGTCTCGATTAAGAGGAGACGTGTATTCAAGGGTGACTCCAATGTCGAACAAACGGTGTACTTTGTTCGAGGGCACCAAAGAAGGTGTCGAGACTCGATTAAGGGGAGGTTGTCCAAGGGCTCCATAGGCTTCAAGAGAGGCTCTATAGTGTCTTTGTTAGAGGGGAGGATTGTTGGGAAAGGAATAGTCCCACGTTGGCTAATTAAGAGGAAAATCATGGGTTTATAAGTAAAAAAGACTATCTCCATTGATACGAGACCTTTTGGGGAAACCAAATCAAAGCCATGAGAGCTTATGCTCAAAGTGGACAATATCATATCATTGCGGAGGTCCGGGATTCCTAACACCAGCACTATATATTCTTTTCACATATTAAAACATTCAGTTCTGGAAGCAGGCATTAGATTTACCTTCCTGCAACAACTAAACAAACAGAACCGAAATTCTCTATGACTCCATCCCTTTAGAGGCTATTTTACCAACGCAATGTCAAAGTTCCTTTTGCCCATGTCATGACCATAGCTGTTAGCATTGAGCCTCGGCAAAAAAAGAAAACAGAAAGATTTATTTTCACCACGAGAATCTGAAAAAAAATTTACCTTTATGCCTCCAAGATTCATTGTATCATCTGCACGACCATGTGCCCGATAATATCCTCGAGGAGAACGCTCAAACAAATCTCCATGCCTCCTCAGTACCTGTTAAGAGAGTTACGAGGTAATGGTAACATTGAAGTGCAAGATGAATTTCTCAAGCAGGAAGGTACATCAGAGAAAAGTGGCCAACCATTCCATTCCAACGGGGCATTCCCTTAAAATAGATATCATAATGGTCAGCATTCAAGAGACTGCTGGAAGCTCCAAACATGTAAGGTCCGAGCGCCAATTCACCAATTCCTGGCATATTCTGTGGCTACATAGGGAAGAAGACGAAGGAAAATGTAGCATTTAAAACCCAAGTAACAATTTTTTACATACAGATTACAGACCCTTCAGTTTGATGCATGGAAATCGAGAGAACTATCAAAGAAACTCTAGAAGCTTTATAATTAAGGGTAGCATATTTCAGTTCCATCAAATTCACCTCCACACTTCGATAAGTTTTGCAATCTTAATTTTTATCTAGAAAATGTGTTTCAATTTCTTATCTCTCGTAAGTTTTAGCTTGAAAATTCATTAAAAAAAAGTATTCTCATATACCTTCGACGAACTATGTAAGATACCAAATTGATAGAATTTCAAAAAACGATATTGGAGGGGTCCATTTTAATTAAAATTTGTGAGTTTTCACAAACTTACTTAATGGCTAATAAGTTTATGGGTAAATTTTGAATTTTTTCCTTTCCATTTTTTAACATATGCAGACTCTCTCCCACGCCATGTCATTGACACTAATCAGCCTACGCTACAAATGAAGAGTTGATGAATTCTTACAATAGGAGAATCCTCGTCGCCAAGAATAAAGAGACTGCACCCCATAGCTGGTGTGCTAAAAGCAGCCAATGCCTGAGCCTGCAACAGTGACCCTGTAACAAATGCACCACCAATCTCTGTCCCACCACAGTATTCGATGACAGGCTTATAGCCAGCTCTTCCCATTAGCCATAGGTATTCATCTACGCTAGATGCTTCTCCAGTGGAGGCAAAACAACTTGAAGTTGCAACAGAATGACCATTTTATACATAAGGATTCTATTTAACAAGATAAACAGACTGAAAGTATAATTCTTAAGCTCACCGGATAGAAGACCAATCATAACCTGATGTGCAGTTTGTACTTTTCCATGAACGGACAATACTTGGAATCACCCCAAGCATTGTTGTTTTAGCATCCTACAGAGGAAAGAGATTGCGAGACCGTGAATTACAAAAAAAGATATCACAAAAAAACCTAACTCTAAATGACTAGATTAAAGGTATGGATGGCCAAGATGACGCAATTAGAGAGAAATATGGCTCTGAAACATGGAGCAAATTAGCTACATCTACATTTATCCAAATTTAAGAAACTTTTGAATAATATCCATTATTTTTCTCACTACCAAGTGATTTTGTCTATTAAAAAAACATTACCACCTGATATATTTAATAATTCAAACTACTATTAAAGGTTTAAACTAGTTGCTTCACAAAATAAACTTGTGTATTAAGTTCAGAGTTCGGAAAGAGGTTTACCTGTACAAATTTAGCAAATCCAGAACTAAGTGGGGATCCATTGTATAATGCCATGGAAGCCCTGTTTAATAATGAAGCATAAACTAGCCATGGACCCATCATCCATCCAAGATTAGTGGGCCAAGCAACAACATCACCTTTATGAATGTCCATGTGGCACCAAGCATCGGCTGCAGCTTTCAAAGGCGTTACAAGGGTCCATGGAATTGCTTTTGGTTCCCCTGACCAACAAACAAACACAATTATTAAGCCTAGAAGCATGAGAGCTATGGTTGTTAGTGGTGCATCCTAGTGTTATAAGATAATAATTTAGAAACTCATTTTATTATGGCATCGATTTTGTCTCAAGTATGAGATTCTCTTTCTTCTCACTAAGTTTATCAGAGTACAGCTAACACCAAATCTATCCCTTATGAGGTACACTCTAGGTGAAGGGAAGATTCCGTTTGTCAGGCTGCTGGAAAGTCGTGCTGGGAACAGTTTGTATAATTTAAGCTCTCAAGAGCTAAGTAATCCTGTTCAAGTGGTAACGTCATTCAAAAAGGTTTCATTGATATCAGCTCCATTATTTTCAAAGTTCAACCTACTTTGTAAGTCAAAATTCATTATTGAAGTCTGCCAGTCTACAAAACAAGAAAAGAAAATTATGTTTGTCGAGGTGACTTGAATGAGCAAGTTAGATTGTCCATGTCTCATGAAAGGGGGAAAAAAAGGCAGAAAATAGCTTCTTTTTTTTTTCACAATGCATGTGTATCTCACAAAACCGGCTAGAGCTCCTCTCTGATAGAACAAAAAGATTGAGCAGTTGTGAACTATCTTTATAGATTTAGAAGTCCTTCTAACGCAAGAGATATCCTATGGACACTTGTAATTGAGATGAATTTCTTGACAGTGTACCAGAACAAAGACGCTTATGGATAAAGGTATAGTGGACTGTGTTATTTTTCTCTTCGTAATTATTAACGAGTGTCTAAATTTGTTTGTATATAGCTCAATTAATCTCAAGGAACGATCCCCTGAATGTATAATACTTCACATAAAAAAAGAACTTCTAGGACATTTAATGTCGTAGGCGGCTCACTCCTACCTAAGACTAAGAGAACATGGTTGTAACAATTTTGGATATAGCAGATAAATAAAGAACAGAGAGTTGCAAGCCTAAAGTCCGAATATTGAATTAACCTGTTGTTCCAGATGAAAAAAGAATATTCGTAAATGATTCCGCTGATTGTTCCACAGCAGCAAATTCCACTCCTCTGCAATAATCATATTTAAAAAATTTAATATGCAACGGCAAGATTTTAACAATACCCAACATCAAACCTAGCATAATTAAGAAACCTAGCATCTATTGAACTTAGA